AAACACAGTCTGGACTGACTGAAGGAAGCACTGACAATACAGTCTTAACTTTGTGCTCTTCAAGACAAAACGTGGGCAAGGCAGTGGTAGTGTGCTGTCTTGGTGAAACCTGGAGCTAGTGCACAAGAGACCTGAGGTCTTTCCAAGGTCCTTTCCTAGTCTGTTCTATTGCCTTTAGCACCTGCCTTGTTCCCTACCTGTCTGGTGAAATTTTAAGATTTCAGAGCCCAGAAGCACAGTACTTCAGTGTGACATCTACAGGCGGTAGGGCCTTGGTCTCTGGCTGCAGTTCCAGGTGGAAACGTGGTTAGTGTCTGGTGCCCTATCTAGTGTGTTTTAAAACACTGTAGCCTGTCTGGGTATGAGTCCAAATCTCTTGCAGTGCCAAGCATCACAGCAGGTGGTTCTCTAAGGTGGCTGTAGAAGTTGTCAAACAAACAACAAATAGGTCCCATGGATGAACTCTGCAGAAGGACTGCAGAAAGGGTCCCTGTCAATCTGAGGGCGTAGAGAAATGGGATAACTGCTTAAAATGCAAAATGCTCTCGTTTTATTCATTGCCTTGTCTCCTTTTCTGTCTCCTTCTGTTCCACCTACCTGTTGCGCCTGTCATTAACTCAGACTGTAATCAGTTCAGGGCAGGGTCACGGTCCTGTGGTAACGTAGACCAAGAGATCTTTTATTAACGGGAGTGATGCACCAGTAGTTGAGCCAGAGCTGAACACGTGGCTGCATTTGCATCACCGACTGTTCGTGTTCTTGGACTAAAAACCAAGTGGTTTTGCACTCAGGTTTGTGTATGACAGCTATATGGAGCCCTGTGCTGTTGATTTTAACTAACTGAATAGCACCAGCCTCCAAAGGAAGTTCTGAGGTTTGAACTTCATTGAAAGGAATGCTGTTCTGTGTGCAGTGCAAGGGATGAGTACGCCAAGTCTGACTTAGTCTGTAGATCTGAGAAGTTTCTCTGTTACAAGTGCATCCATTCATGAAAACAAAATCCCATTTCTTTTTTTTCTTTTTTTTTTTAATTGAGTTCTAACCCTCTGTGTGTTAGAGGGAATTTAACCCATGGCATTCACAATAGGAATTTTGAAGCAGTCACACAGATTTGCTTCCCTGACTGCCCCATCATGTCACCCCAACTAGCAGCGATGCATTGACCTACCTAGGACTGTTAGCCCTTTGTGCATTGGTTTATTTCCCTGTTTTCTGCCCCCAAAAGTTAGACAAGGGAGGTTAGAAAATCTGTGCAAGTTTTAAAGGAATTTATGCAGCTTTGACACAGCCAGAGTCACTGGTACTCAGCCCTGTCATTATTACTGTAACAGCTTAATTATTTGATTTCCAGTTGCTGTTGTATTGTTGCTGTAGGCACTGTGTAAACATACAAAAAATGATGGCCTCTGCCTTGAAGCAATTGCAATTTTGAGTACACAATGAGAGACAGCAGCCTGATGCAACAAACGCATTACCAGCCAATTAAAAGTATAAAGCAACAGTTGGGTTTTACCCTTAGGTCCTCATGGCTGTCAGGTGCTGGTCTTGTGGTTAGGTTTAAGTCTGCTGTTGCCAGGATGGAATGGGGCAGGCTTGCTTGTGTATTGGTTTATGTGAGGTTGTCTTTAAACAGTGTAAATCATCATTTTAGCACACAGCTTCAATGAGACAAGAAGCCTGAGTTAACTAGTGGGAGGACTGCCATGTACCAGATTGAGCGCAACGGCTGCTGACAAAGGCCACTGGTGGATAATTGATGGTTTTTGCTGCTCTGTCTCAGTTTCAGTGCAGAATTCAGCATAAGCTATCAGGACGTCATCCCCATGATATCTCTGACTTCCTCTGCTGGCTTTCCCCAGGTGCTCTGACACAGTTTAATTTATAGAGGTGTTGGGGAAAAGGGACCCCTGTAAATAATTGGGTTAACTTTGGACATAGGCAAGTATTAACATTGAAACAGCAGCTACTTTGAAGGCTGATTTTTATTTGAGGAGGCATCTAGGCAAGCAGCAAAGATAGAAATATGATTTAGACAATTAGTCACACCAGTGTTCCAATACAGAATGCTCAAAGTCAACAGTTGCAGCAAGTTGTTTGCAAATATTCCAGATAAGTAAGGTATTCCTGGAAGTATTGGAGCTCTGCTGGTGCGTAGTATGTTTGCATAAAGCATCAGATAAGGATATGTTACGCTGTTATAACACTGATTGTGGAAGGATCTATTTCTGGGTTTCTTTTAAATAGTTTGATTTACACCTGGCTTGAAACTTTAATAATTCATCTAAAAATGGTTAGACTATGACATTCTTGCGTGGTTGCAGGGGTAAAAGTTTCAGTATAATGGTAGGTACGGTGATAGGTAGGTTGTCGGTAGGCAGTTTTCCAAGCTGGGCAGGAGGAGGTGAGGATGCTGTCTGAGCTCAGGAGAGCCGGGGGGATTGTCTTGCAGGAGGCAAGCTTCAGCCATCGGCTGCTGCAGTGAGCAGCCACTCTCAGCTCCTGCCTCCAGGCACTGACCCACAGCTGCTGGGTGCTGTTCTGCTTCTGTGCGAGCCAGCAGCCCCTGCAAACTCCTTCCAGGTATTTGGCGTGCGGCTCTGGCTGAAAAGGCAAGGGGAGGGGCAGCATGGTGTTGCAAAGTAGGGAAAAAGCATAATATGCCTCTGCGTATCAGCGCCTCTGGGCAGTGCTGCCAGAGGTGACCGTCCTGTTTTACCCTACAAGCATAAGAAAATCTGCACAGAATGCATTTAAAGACAAGGTCTGCCTGGCTGGGGAAGCTTGTAGGTGCCTTGCTCTAGCAAAGTAGCCAAGCTTTCTAGTGCAGACTGAGCCCTGGGCAAAGCTCGGGACAAGAGCAGTAGAGTTACTGCTTGATGTTGGGTGACTTGCTTTTAGAGATGTGGGGAACCACAAGCCGTGTGGGCATTTACTTCCTTCACAAACCCTAATGTGCTCCGTGTGACACCAATGAATAGGGCTAATTGTTCCTGGGAGGTGGCTGTGCATCTGTCAGTACCTCAGGGCACTGAAATCTGGTGAGAAGTTGCTCTGATCGTTGTCTTTTAGTGTCACTGCTGGAGTCTTACAGGTCATAGGTTTGTAAAACTGATCGGAACAGGAATTGCCTTCCTAAGCTTGTTTTCAGCTCTTCTTGAAAATCAGGTTGGTTTTGTTTGTTTGTTTGTTTGTTTGTTTTTCCGTTTGTTTCATTACTGGTCAAAACAGGGTGTCTCCAAATGCATCATCCTGCATTGGCATCCAGTCTTCTTGGCTGCTCTGGATTTTGCAGAAGTTAATTTTTATTGCTGGTTTGCAGGAGCTGACTTGTCGTCATCCATATGTCACTAGTAACTGATAAATTCAGGTTCTCCCCATGTAAGCATGTAGAATCTCATCATCTTCAGAAGTTGAGGTCTACTGACAGGCTTCTGTCGTGAGCACTATTTCATGGGAGACTTTGGTGAGGCGCATGTTGGTTTAGGGTAATTCTTACCGTTAGGGTCAGGGTTTGGAGAGAATGAAAGCACAGAGTGCTGTTGCGAGTAGTATTGCAGCACAGCTTAGGCTCATTTCAGTGTTTTCCACACTACGCTGGGGTTTCTTGAGCATCTCTAGGGTACACTGGGCACCCCTAGGTATCGCTAAAGTACGCTGGGAGTCCCTGGTTTGTCTGTACAGTATGCCATAGCAATCTGGGTCGTGCTGAGAGGAGTTTGGAAGTATTAGAGGGCACTGGCAGGCCCTGCGAGGCATCCAGGGGACACTAGAGTGCACTGCAAGATCTCAGGATGCTTGTAGGCTGCACTGGGAGGCCTCTAGTGGATGCTAGACTACACTAGGGGCCATTTTGAGTCTTTTGGGGGTGCTGGAGCGGGCTGGAGGCCCTCATAGACACACACAGTCTTTAGGTCAGATCGGAGATTCGTGGGAGGCATGCAGTGAGCGCTGGAAGGCCTTTAGGACGCTCTGGAGGACACTGCAGAGCCTTGCAAGGCCTCCAGCTGGTGTTAGACCACACGGCTGGGCCCTGGGAGTCCTGGAGTGTGCCCTAGAGTGCACTGGGGAGCGCTGGGAGGTCTCGGCTGCAGGTGGAGGCTCCTAGGGCATCCGAGAGTGCGCTGGGTGGCCCTGCAGAGGATCTAGGGTGGAGCGGAGGGCGACTGGCGGCCTCTAGTGTGAACTGGGAGGCATTTACGGCACCCTAGAGGGCAGTGGAGAGCCCGGTGAGGCATCCAGCTGGTGCTTGAGTGCTCTGGGAGCCCTCGTGTGCCCTCGAGCACACTGAGAGCTCTTTGAGGTCTCCAGGTGGCACTGGAGTACACCTGGGGGCACTGGGAGACTTTCAGGTTCTGCTAAACTCCACCAGGAGGCCCTGGAAGACTCTAGGTTGCACTGGGAGCCCTCCAGTGCTCTCTAGAGTGCACTGGGGCTCCTGGGAAGCCTGCAGGGGTTACCAGAGGCACTGCGGAGCCTGGGCGGCCTCTACAGAGCCTTGGAGAGTTTCTTCGGGGCACTGTGAGGTCTCCACGGGGACACTAAATTACAGGGGAAGCCCTTGGAGCCTGTAGGGTGCACTGGGAGGCCTCTGGTGCCCCCTAGAGTGCACTGGGGGGCAGCTGCTTGAAATGGGGTGCGGAGGCACAGACCTGGTGAAGGAGCAAGACCACCGAGCGGAGTTAAGGGGACAGGGAATTCTAGAGAGAGGCAGATTCGCTCTTCCATAAAACAGCCATCTTTCTACATCAGCGAACCTCGCTGAAAGGCAACATGCAATTTTCTTACCAAAAGGAGAACACCTGCAATACTGCTCACCCTCCAGGGCTCCACAGCAGCACGTTGCTGCAGCCCTTGTGGGGCTGCTCTTGGCAGACTTGCGGTGTGCCTGTAGTAAGGCAATCTCATCCCGCTGCTCGGTGCAGGGCTGTAACAGACTTGTCAAATCTGATACCCTAAGCGAAAGATTTGCACCACTGATTCTTCCCTCTTTTCCCCTGCAGCTAGGACACAGCTCCGTATTTACATTATATTGCCGTGGTCGCCCTCCTGCCCTGTGATCTGTGCCCCAGACGGTTGTCACCAGGGTGCTCCCACCATCAGGTAACTGGGTGCTGTTTCACATGTTAATGAGGACACTTCAAAGGTTTCCAGACATGGTTCCTATGCCTCCGTGGAGTGGCACAGGGGTGAAAGTAAGAGATGGAGTCATCCTCCTGCCTTTTGCCAGAGGTGTGGTGTTGGTGAAATAGCAAGAAGGATCTCAGATACCATGATGTTAACAACTACATAAATACGTAACCAGAGCTTGACTGTTTTTACAGTGCCTTGAACTGGGCACAGCTGTAAGTGTTCTGTATTAACCTTACTGCTGCCTACAAGCACCTTTCAGTGTGGTAACTATGTAAAAATACAGCTCTGAATATCTGCAGAGGCTGGGGAATGCTGATCTCAAGGCACGGGGCTGGGCAGCTCTGCAGGAGCCAGGCTTTAAGTGCCAACATCCCATTCCCATGAAATTCTGCATCCTTCCAGAAGTGGGCTTCAACTCCGTGGCCCTTCCACAGAATGTTTTCAGTCAGTTTTCCTTTGCCAGTTTCAGAATGCTGTTATTCCCCCTGCGGGGCTGTACCAGGCTCCCTGTGGTTGGTAATTAAACATGCTGGAAATTCTTGTGCTTTCATTTTTGACCAAAGACCGTAGGCTGAGTGGCACAAAGGGATAAGGTTTGCTGACTTTGGTGTAGGAAGCCCTGAGTTCAGATTCTCTTCCCTTTCTCAGCACTTTTCTCTTTCTAATGAAAACAATAAAAAGAAGAGATATGTGATCACAAAGCACTTAACAAGTACAAAAATATTGGAAATGGGATGTTTGCTGCAAAGATGGGATGAAGTTAGTACAAGCAGAGCCTCGGAATGGGCCAAGTTAAATAAGCAGCAAGTCTTGATAACTTGGCCCCTTTTTTCTAAGGTTCATACGCCCACATATGGGATCTCAAAAGGGTGAGCCAATGTAACCCTAATTGTGTCTTATTTATCTTGGCTGTTTAAACAGCTCACCATGCTGTAACTTGGCCCCTTCTACAGTGATTGCATCTTTATACAGTTGACCTTTTCTTCCCCCTCCATTTTTTTTTTTTGTATGTGCTACAAGTTTTCATGTCAGATATAATTATCTGAACCCCTGTAGGCTATAAGGATAAGGTTTCAGCCATTTTTGGCAATGGGGTTCTTTCCCAGGGCTGCAGATGGGTTAGGTGAACCAGATGTACTCAGATAAGTTTGTTGCAATTTCTGTGGGTTTTTGGGTTGTGCTTCAAAGGATGGCCCTTGTGCTTAGGGGTTAGTTGCCTTATAAATTCTAACTTACATTTTTGCCTCTGTGATGAGTGCATTTTTCATTTCGTTGAAACCTGGCATAAACTATCCTGTTCTTGCACGTTCGTTTCTAGGACTAGGGATGTGACAGTTGTGTGTGTTTGCTTGTAGGCAAGTGCTTGGGCTAAAGTTGAAAAATAAAGTATTAAAAGATGTTTGGGAACCCAGAGGTAGCTCTGCTGCTGCAGTACCCTATCACCTGCAGCAAGCTCCGCGCAGGGGCCCGTGCTGTGCTGGCACCAGCTTTACCCAGGAGGTGAAGACACTGCCCGGGTATCAAAGCTGTGCAGGCAGCCCTCCCCATCACCACCTGGCTTCTCTTGCAGTTGCATCTGAGTCTGATTCTTACAGATTATTGATGGACTGAAAAGTAGACAGATTGGTGAGCTGATTAATTAATTGTTTGATTATTACTGTTTATACTGAGAGACTACAAAGAGCTCAAAGAGCTGTCTGAGGTCAGGCACCCCCCACCCCCCCTCCACTAAGCACTTGAAAAGCGTGTGGGCAGGACACTTTCTACTTTGATTTGGTTTCTATCTCACTAGAAAAGGGTGGGGAAAAATGACGTGTTGTGACCCTTGTTTTGTGCAGGGCTAAGTGGGAAAGGGGAGAGGCTAAGAGACGTGGCCAGGGCTGTACAGAGACCCCGGCTAAGCCAGAAAGTATTGTCATCTCTCCCAGACTCCTGTGCAGGGCCCTTATCAGAAGGCGTCCTTGGTTTTTGCTGAAGCCTTCTATTTTTAAATTTCTCCATCTTATTATTTCCATAAGTTACAACATCCTTTCTTTGCTCCCTGTCTCTCATTCTGTCACCCCATCTCTGTGGTCTCAGAGCCACAATACCTCCATCCACCAGGAACAGCATTATTTTGGAAGCGGAACACGATGTGTTTCAAAGACAGCCCTGCTCAGCTAAACCACTTGTAAGGAGCAGAAAGGAAATGTGAAGAGCTCACCGGCTTCTTTTTATTAGTGAGTTGCTGTTTTTTCTGTTTGCTGCAGATGCCACTGAGGAGCACCCCCCAGTTTCTGTTAAAAGCCCGTTCCCTGACAGACCACGAGCCACACGCTGCACTGGTGAGCCCCAGCTGCACTGAATGAAGGCGGTCAGAGCCCAGACCCCTCAGGAATTGGCTCTTTTTTTTAACTCCAATTTCATGTTTTTGTCTATTTGGGAGGTGACCAGTGGCACTTAATGTGGGTCAAGCCTGGCAAACTGATCTCCATGGCAACCCTTAATGAATGCCATTGGCTCAGTGGTTCCATCCCTGCATCTCATTAAATTTCAATGACTTTCATGGGGCTCGGACATGTAATTAATATCAAACACATGGTATTCAGCAGGGTAAGGTTTAACAGCAGGCAACGTGTGCACGAGCAGGAGACTGACGTGGGGGGGCAGGGGGAATGTTTGGGCTCTGTCCCCAAACGCCGCAGGAACAAACAGCCCATGAAAAAGAAGCAGAAGGCAGAGCCTGGCGGTTGCTGCTCGCAGCCTGGCAGAGACGGAGCTGGGCTCTTTATCCCCGTTCGCTTTGGAGAAGATTGGGAAGCAGTTCTGTGACAGGGGCTGATGCCCGCATGTCAGAGTGGCTCTCATTGCTTTGTGACCAGTAGCCATCTTGCTGAAGTAGTTCCATTGTTGTAAGAAATCAGGAATTGTGGCACATGTGCTGGCTAAAGGGAACTCCCCAAAGGCCCGGAAGGGTGGAGGAGGCTGCACGAGGCAGGAAGAAACATTCAATTGCGTGCTTCGATTTATTTTGGTCATGTACAGGTACAGCCTCGTCTGTGGCTTCTGTGGCACAAAGGGAACCCTCCCCAACCCCTGCGCAGCAGCACCACAGAGCAGCTTCCAAAGTCCTCGCGAGAAACCACTGTGGACTTGGGAGCATCTTGTGCTTATCATGAGGCTGGAGTGAATCACAGCTCTTCAGAAGTGGGCAGTGCAGCCCAAGCATAGGGCTGCTGAGATGGTGGCGCAGGGACCGCCTGACCCTCACACCATCCAGCTGCACAGGAGGCCCGGGGGAGGCTCCTTCTCTAGGGGAAGGGACAGATGCCAAAATGCAGGGGGGAGTGGCTTCTGTTGTTTGCCAAATTGAATTTGGATTTCCTAGGGTTTGCCTGCCTCTAGTGAAGATCCCAATCATTTCAGCTGTATTAAAATCTTACAGCGTCTTATCTCCCATGGACTAATGTTATCAGACATGAAATGAAGCAAAAAGGGGGGAAGGAGGGGGAAGGAAATAACCTCTGCTAATTACTAATGCAAAATGAGTAATGAGATGAAGAAATGATGTGCTATCAGATACAATCCTGGGGTTTTTAAAACGAATTATTTCATCTTCAGCTGCATTGCTGCTATTCCCCAGGGAATAATATACAATTCCCACAAGGATATGAGGGTATAATTCAGTGGCAGCTCTGGTGAAGTTATATTCAGTTTAATGAACGTTGGTGGGAAGCTAAGATTGAATTATTGCCTGAGTGCTCTGTCAGGTTGCCTCATGTTGTTATGCAGGATATAAAGAAAATTATTATTGACAATACTAAGGAGATTCATTTTGTCTGAGTGAAGGAGGTAAAGGAGGTGTATTGAATATGTGACGTAGCAGGAGAAGGTTAATCATGACTGTAATGTGGGATGGGGAGATCGATCATGCGTGGATCATGGGGATGGCTATTTAATGTGTATGTGACACCGCGAGGGAAGTTTTACTGACTAGGATGCGTGGAAGGGACAGGGCTGGAGGCAATAACAGTGACTTACTGCATGAATAGTAAACAGTGGTGTGGGGAGGATGGTATTCAGGGATCCACGATGCACTTGAAGGTGCATCAATGGGTAGAGGGTGAATGGGATTTCTTACGGAGTTGAGCTAAATTCAAGGCTTCTCCAGGTCTGCAAAGAAAACCCAGACCTTTGCAAGCGTTGCAAATGGTCATTGGCATTTTACCCAACTGCTGCTCGTCCTCTTTTGCCATTAGGTGGCAGCATCTTGATGTTGAAAAAAATGCTCCTGGAGCGTTTACAGGTCCCTTTCACTCCAGGAGTCCCAAAGGCATCTCCAGAGGCTTTTGAGTTTGGGCTCACATCTGTAACTCCAAGCAGGACGCGCTGTGCCTGGTGGGGAGTCTGGAGGGCAGAGTGTTACAGGATTACAGCACGGAGCTGGGAGCAGGGTGTGGTGGAACTGGCACCTATAACTGTCTCCGTTGGTCCCAAGCTGCATCTCCTTATTCTGCTTGTTACAGCTGGAGACTCCAGTTGCTTGCCAGGAGGCCACCTCTGAAGCTGGGAAGGGTGGGTGGTGTTGGGACACAGTGACGGGTGTCAGACAAAGGATGACAGAGGCTCGCAAGGTTTCCCAATGTTGTACAGACAGATGGAAAGCTTTCTGGCACAAAAAGGGGACAGCAACAAACACCCTGGCCTTGCACTTGCTCTGCACTTCACATTCTGCACTGAAATAAGCTCTCTGGCCAGCAGCTGTGGTTGCACATAGCATGAGGGAGTGCTTTTATTCGGTTACCTCTCTGAACACCTTGGCTGTTCTATTTCCCCCTTTCTGCTCTTTCTTTCTTTCCTTTGCCCAACCCACTTTACTTCCTACAGAAGTACAGACAAATTGAGCTGGAAGGGATCTCAAAAGGTAAAGTTATTCTCCTCAGTCAGGGCGGGCTCTTCTGTCCTGGTGTCTGCTCCTGGGAGACGTCCAGCCTGTCCTTAAGGAACTCCAGTGACAGAGCTTCTGCACCCTCCCAGACAGCTGCTTCGTTATTCCTTGCCATAAGAAGTGGCCCTTACCTGGACCGTCCTGGGTTCTTTTTGCAACTGTTTTTATTACATCTGCCATGGACATAGAGAATAAATTACCTCCTCCCACTGCCACGTCCTTTTCTGTGTTTGAGGACTTCTGTTATACTTCTTCATGGAGTTTTCTTACTCCTCAAGAGTCTAAACTAAACAGAACATTTGCAGAACATTTTTTAAGCTCTTATCATTCTCAGTGCTCTCTTCTGAGCTCATTAGTAGAGGACGGTGGACATCAAATTTTCAGTAAGTTACATTTGCATCACAAGTTAGCTAGCCTCCTTGTCTCGACGAAGAGCAGTGGACTGTCAGTCCCACCAGTTGTAGGTATTTCTTGGACAGTCTCGACTTGAATGAGAAAAAAGATCTTTGCAAAAAGAGCAATTCTGTGCAAAACAATGCAGAATTAGCAAAGCTAGTTCTTGCTAAAACCAGATCTGAGTACCTCTGAGATCTTTAGATGTCAAATTTGGTTGACTTTGGCCAATGAGTTACAACTGGTAGACAGTCTGTAGTACAGGGGTATTAATAAATGGCCCAGTTATTAATGGGGAGACTTGCTCAAGCATGCAATAGAGCAGGATTGCACAAGACTTGTTTTCTCAGGAAACCAGCCTGTAAGTAACGGATGGTTTGGAAAAAAGTATCTGAACTTTTTCAGACTTCCAACAAATGTTTGCTCAAAAATAAACATTAAAATGCTTTTTAAAAAACTCCTATCAAATATCTTTTTTATCTTGGCCATTTGTACACAGGAAGTTCGTGATTTATTTTTAAGGATTCTAACCAAGATCTCAGTTGCACGCACTCAGAAGGTAGAGGTCACTGACTTGAGGGTTTTCTTTGATTCTTCATACTTTCCATGCTGAGAAATGTACCCTCCAATTTGTAGTACCATTAGGGTAAAGGGATGTTTGGATCTGCAGCACTGGCTGAGGTCCATCTTTAGCATGGAATAGTCAGTAGCTATTAGAAGGAAATGAACGTATTGGAACCCAGTGCAAAATACTATAAGCAAGCAGCTGGTGGTCTTGTTTCAGCAAATTCCACTAGTTTGCAAAGTAGGAGATCTGTCCAGAAATTATTTTCACATTTATTTTTGCCATCCACAAACAACTTCAAAAGCAGATTAATTTCAGTCTCCTTGGACCTGTCCACCACATATCACTTTCATATTTTCTTGGAGAAAAAAATCATACAACAAAATATGGAGATGATTGTTTCATTTTCTTAACCTGTCACTCACAGTGTTTGATCTGTCTGTTCAAAGTGCAGTCACTCGCAGGCAGCATGTTTCCATTAGAGGCAGGAGGAGTGCCTGGTCCAGACTATCTAGCACTTCTCCAGCGGCGGGATTGAGAGCAACATGGAATATTTTATTGGTTTCTGTTCTGGTGAGATGGGAAGAGTGGTAAGAGGAGAACTAGACAAATTTGTTAGTGGTCAAAATATGAGATACTCTCATAAATCATAAAATAATGTGGGTTGGAAGAGACCATCTTGTCCAATCTTCTGCTCAAATTCCTCATCAAATATTGAATTTTGATATTGTAGACCTCAGTGTCACATTTATACACTGCCTCTTCTAAAAAGTCCCATGAATTACTTCCTCTTAAGTGCATTTCTGCGTGGAGCATCTTTTATTCTTGATATTTCTATTGTAAATAGCAGTAGGCAGTCCTCAGATGCAAAATTTGGATCTGCATTCAGAATCCCAGTCCCAGGGAAAGTCTGTGTTAAAATGGAGCTGAAGCTAAGAATACCTGTTAGTGACTGAGGGGTAAAACATTGCAAGGGTCTGTTGTATGTAGGATCCCAGTGGGCACTACATGACCAGGGAATTCAGAACTGAGGTAAAACTTTAAAAGAATCTGAATAAAATAAGGAATGGAAAATCATCCAAAAATAGCTAACTGTTCTTTTCAGTGATACGAATTTGTTATAGGATAGAAATGTCATAGTGCTGGTGGTGAAAATTAAACAGATTTTAAGGTACATTAGATTTTATGCGTTATTATTTTTTTTCCCTATGTATTCAGTTAGCATCACTTGGAACATGACAGAGAACATATCACATTTCTTAATGGACCCGAATTTTAATTTATCTGTATAAGCCATGCAGTGATATATATTTATACATTCCCCAGTAATTGCTGTTGTAAAACCAGAATTTGAAGTTTTTACTCTCTGAAAATACCAGACTTCTATAAAACAAAGATGTTTTGTTTTTAGGGATGCCCATTTAACAATGGGCTCTGCTCTGAACTTGTGTACCTGGCACCTGAACGGGGTGCACGTGCGTTATGGAGAGAAGCCCAATCGCAGTGGTGGGATGTGTCATTTTGCAAGCAGGATGGCCACAGCCCCTGTGAGAACCTGGCAGTACCTTGCTCCTAACTGAGAATAGACAGAGTCATCACACCTTATTTTTCTCGTGGCAGAACGTGAGTCACAAGCAGGATGTACCCATGGGGTCCAGAACTGCCTCATCTGAGACTTTCCACTCTTCCCAGGCTCCAGCTGTAGGCAGGAATGTTGCTGCTATAGGTGTGCTGCGGGCTTTTGGTTTGGTTTGGTTTGTTTGTTTGTTTGTTTTCAGGGTAGAAGATGAGATCTGAAGGAGTGGTGCTTCCAAGCCTTCTGGGGTAGAAGAGAGCTGCTGCCATCATGCCAGGTTCTGTTTTGCCTCCTGCAGAGGAAAGGTGCTTGCTGAACTCAGCAGCTGCCTGCCGGAAGCCAAGGCTGTGCCAGCTGAGACAGATGCGTTAGAAATGCTAAAGCTGCATTCTCTCGCAAAAGGCTACTGGAGCTAAATGTGCAAAAACAGCGAGGCTGGGGAAGCTGCTGGCACTGAAAAGGGGAACTGTAATGGGAAGATGCAACCTGTAAAGGTCCATTACCCTTCCTTCTAGCCTCAGGTCAGCAGCGAATGAGATTTTAATTCTCCCATGGCTGCTGCAGGGCGCTTGTTCTTTGGTCACATTACCAGAGCATTACATTATGCCTAGCACAGAAGCTGCTTCCTGATGGAGGATGCTGCACTTGTTTCCCATTTTTCCTGAGAGTATTGGTGGAGGCAAACTCTGAAACTCAAAACCGCCTGCCCTGAATCTCACACTCAGCATCCATGCCATTTTTCTGTGAGGGGGAAGCAACTCTGTTTGGCTCGGTTGAAAATCAAGTCTGAGGAAGGGGCATGGGTTAGTACAGCTTTGTCTTAGGTACTAAGCAATAAAAATGGAACCAGATGAAATGAGGCTCAGGGAAGAGTTTTCGTTCAGCTTTATTTCCTATTCAGGGGCCTAAATCTGCTGAGGGCTTGGCATGGGTGGGGAGCTGTGGTCATTAAAAGAACTCAGAAGGTCTGGTTCCCCGGTTTGGGGTTACAGTTCAACACCAGGGAGCCCATCGGAGCTGCTGGTAGCACGGAATGAAAAAGCTGGAAGCCCAGGATTTCCCAAGGCTCATGCCAGGTAACTGCTTTGGCAGGTGAAGCCTT